CCGTGGCTGCTTAGTGGCAAGGTCTTCTTCTATGACAGTCACCATAACACAAGGCTCATGGAGCTCTTCTTCAGGCTTCATCATCTGAAGGGGGTAGAAGGGATTCAAGTGAAGAGGGCCATCAGAATTGGCTATTTTGACTGCCTTGGTCACCTCCCCAGTCAAATTTTTTTGACCTCGATCGCGTTTAGCTTTGAGGTTTTGATGGACCTCGTGCCAAAACTGCGATCTAGGTCGCGACTGGTCAACTCTTCTTGCACAGGAGAGAGCTATCTCCATAAGGTGCGGCAATGGATGAGGACCAAGAACTTGAGTCCTCTTGAGCCGGAGAGGATGAAGTACTCGATCTTCCATTAGGTCCATGCCCTAAGCTCTCTTGTGGGCTCCAAAGACACGACCAAAGTGATGGGGCTGATTCAGGATGATACTCGTTGGAAACATCTTTGAGTACCAAGGCTGATGATGCTTGCTCGATGAAGAAGGAGCACGCAGGAGCAGGGTTGACTCGTGAGGAGGCTTGAGTCGAGGGTGAGGGGATGCCTGTGATGGCGACTCGTGTGCACCCTTAAAGAAGCATTATGGTGGACCTGGGGGTCCGCCCGGGCTCGTGCAAGTGATATGGCCTGAAGAGGTCGCGAACTACGAGTAGGTGTCTGTAAGAGAGTAGGTGTTGGCCTATCCCTTATAGGGTGCACTTGTGTGTGCATGGTAGGAGGACGAGCAGGTCATCTCTTATGTACTCAGGTTGGCATAATAACGGCATTGCCCCGAGCAGTGAGATGATATGAGTAGCGTGCGCAGGACCTGGCCTTGGAAGGTTCGATCTTGGACATGGATTTGAGGTAACATAAGGGTTGCCCCGAGGTGTGGCTCAAGTGGGTGAGCCACGAGCTTTATGGCATGTGTGAGGGGTGGAGACGGTGGGGTTTTCACCTCGATGTGTTGAGCCTATAGGATAGAGACCAATGGTACATAAATGTGGGGTGTAGCCTTATGGCACCCTACAGAAGCAATGGCAAATTGGTTGCCTCTTGCATAAAGGAACTGGGCAGCCTTTCAGTGTACCTCAAGAATACAACTGGCAAGTGACTTGCCAGTGGCTGTGTGTATGTTGTGTGGGGCAACATAAGTGCTGCCAATGCAGGGCGCCTTGGTGGTGTTTCCACTAGAGTGAGAAGATGGGGAGTGAGGGACCTTTAAGTCCCACCTCACATAGGTCCAAGTTAAGACTTGGGGGTCTTTGTTCAAGAGGATGGTCGGGGAACGAAGTCAAAGGAACTTGTTCCCTAAAGACACTCTCGAATATGGGGATAAGAAAATCCATGATCCGGATAAATGGGTTACAGAACCCGCAAGGCATAAATAAAATGTGATAAGATAATGAAAGCAGATAAAATAAGAAATTAGTCAAACAATAACTATCCGACTAAGGGGTAGTAAGTCCCCAGTGGAGTCGCCAAGCTGGTTAAGTGCCTCGATCTCGCCCTCTAGATCTGGATGATTGGACGGCATGTGTCTCGGGTTTCAAGGGTAGACCCGGGACGTTTTTGAGATCGCTCTATCGGAAACCTCGTTCGAGAACAAGGGCAGGTGTTACTAACCTATGAGAGAGGAATTTTAATGTGGGTTCGGGATACACTCGGGCTGGCTCACGTGGGCTCCCTCTTAGATCTTGAAGAAAGCCCCCCAGTAATAAAACTGGTTCGAAATCGCTTCTCTTAGCTTGTATTCTTTTGTTTTCTGCAATCACACATACATATGACAAAGGTTATAAGACTGGTAGGTCAGACCTCACCCTTTTCCTCTTTGATAAACGTACACAATCATGTGCAATCAAAAAGAAGAAGAGAAGAAAGATAGGGGAGAGAAGAGTTTGACAGAGCGAGAGGATCAAAGCGGTGACTAAACTGGTGAGTAATTGGCCAGACGTGGTAGCAAAATGGGCTCGATAACTAAGACCGGCTCACAGGATCACTACTATACGTCATTACTAATACCGACTAGCTAGGCACTATGGTCGGTCTGTCGTGGCAATAAAGCGGGCCAAGTAATCCTAGCACAACAACATTACAGCTAGACGACAGGACTACCATAAGAGGCAAACCTCAATCCCTCTTAATCGAGCGAAAGAGTAGCAGAGTGATGGTTATGAGGAAAGAATGAAGTAAGAGAAGAAGGGAACAGGCAGAAGGGGAAAGAAGAAAAGAAAAGAAGAGACGATAGGATAAAAAAGAGAGAGGGAAGGGAGAAGTAGTCAGCGCTAAGCGTTGCTGACTGGGTCAGAAGAAGAGGGAGAAAATGCAATCGGTGTTAGGCTTCCCCGACTATGTCAGAAGAGAAGAGAGAAAAAAAGCAGTTGGCACTAGGCTTCGCCGACTGTATCAGAAGAGAAAAAAGAGAGAAAGCAGTCGGCACTGGGCTTCATCAACTGTGTCAGTAGAGAAGAGAGGAAAAGAACCGACCGGCAGTAGGCTTGCGCTAGTTGTGATGGGAGAGAAGCAAGGGAGAGAGATCGAGCCGACGCTAGGCTTCGTCAACTACAATATAGGAGAGAGAGAGAGAGAAATCCAACTGGTACTAGGCTTTACCGACTGTGAGAGAAAAGAAGAGAGAAATCCAATCGACATTAAACTTCGCCGACTGCGACAGAAGAGAGAAGAGAGAAATTCAACCAGAGCTGAGCTTCACCGATTGCATTAGAAGAGAAGAGAGACAAATTCACCTAGCGTTGGAAATGAAAGAAAAGGAGAGAGAAAAACCCACCTGGTGTTGGGAATAAAAGAAGAGAGATAAAATCCCACCCGATACTGAGAATGGAAGAAGAAGAGAGAGAAAGGGCCACTCGATGCTGGGGATGAAAGAAGAGGAGAGAGAAACACCCGACGCTGGGATTGAAAGAAGAAGAGAGAAAAAATTGCACCTAGCATTGGGAATGAAAGAAGAAGAGAGAGAAAATCTCCATCCGACATGGGAAATGAAAGAAGATGAGAGAGAAGAGGCGATAGAGATGAGAAGAAGAAAAATAGAGAGAGATGAAGAGAGAAAGAAGGGAGGAGAGAGAAAAAGATAGAGATAAAGAGAGAAAGAGGGGGGAGAGAAAGAGATAGAGATGAAGAGAGAGAAAGAGGGGACGAAAGAGAAAGTTACCTACCTAAAAGGTACTAGCCCTTTTCTTCTCTCTCCTCTCTCTCTCTCCAAGACATACTCACAGGGTCAAGCAAAAAATCAGAATTTTATTGATTGATCCAAGAATAATGAATCCGTCCTTTGAGGCAGTGCTTGTATATATAGAATTGGACTAAAACATGGTTGTACGCCCAAAAACTACTTGAAATTGAAGATAATTACAATTTACTTGAATCTAACGAAATTCTAAAAATGAGGGCAAAATAATTGTTTTGCCCCTACCTAACAATATGTGGAATTCCATAACAGTCCTTATGGCTGCCCTAAAACTTGTGTGATCTTCTATGGCTGACCCGAGGTTGTTTTGATGCCCGTTTGGTCGAAAGGTTATTGTTTTCTTGTAGGGCTCGGCATGACGATCATTTTGATACCAACTTTGAGCCATGAATCATGTTTTTGAGCCATGATCATGAGACTTGATTTTTGAATGAATCTTGAAAACTTCGGATCGATTGTGTGCTCATTCCTTGATGTTTCTTTGTGACTTCTTCGCTAAATCACACTGAGCATGCCGTTATGATCACGTTGCAACAAACGCAGCTCGATTTCGTGTCTAGATGAAGATTTTTTCTTCTTGAGTTTTTGACCGAAATCTTGGAGTCCGGCGGTCGGAATTTACAGTAGATTTGACACCTTTTTGTGCGAAATCCAACCATTTATTGTACGCGAGGTTCGGACAAGAGATAGACTCGGACCTCACACACATAATGCAATTGGTTTCGTGTCGATCGGGTGTGCGAGCGTTGTGAACTGGCTACTCGAACAAGGCGTGCTGCTGCTGAATTTTCTGTAACTTCCTTCATGGATCAGCGACTTTCATCTAGTTTTTTTCTTTGCTCCGACGTTGTCACTGGACGTACCACAGAACGATTTGCTCATCTTAATGAGAGGAACACGCTCACCAAATTTAGTAGCGATCCAACTTGGAACGAGTGAGTTATAGGCCCCAAAAGTGACTGCTCGTGACTATAAAAACAGGCACCTTTAATGGTGTTTTAACGGGGTGAGGCCACATGGGAATAGTGTGCGGCCTACTCCTTTTCGATATTTTACCTATAACTTTGTCTTAAAGTGCCCGATTAAGTCGAAACTTGATCCATACGGGTTTTCAATCATGTCAGATCTAATGGAGGTGGTTCCACAACTGTTTGAAGCACCAAAAGTATGGCTCTAGTTACAGGGTCCATTTCAGAGTACTAGAGACCGATTTCGCTAAAATTGTTTCTTTGTGTTCACTGCCTTAGACATGTCTGATAGCGATGAAACTTGACAGGTGGTCTTTTGAAGTATTGATGAAGATCTTGACCAATTCTGGGGCCATTATGAGATTATCAAGAATTTCCACTGTTTTGTAGGCTTTATTGATCTGCTTCCTACTTATTCCTAATCAGGGACCAAGGTGCTGAAAAATACATTCAAACAACTATATGAGCAGAAGGTTAGGCTGTATGAGGAGAAGGTTGAGCAAAGATTTTTGATGTGCTGCACTATATTGATGAGCAGAAGGTTAGGCTGAGAAACCTTCATGCTAGAAATAAGAGGGAGAGACCTTCTCCCCTTTAGTGGATCTTGCCATGAAGATTGAGAGGGACTATGAAGAGTCCTGGTTCAGGAGAAAGGGACGAATGGGGCCAGCCCGATTTGGGAGCCTTGGGAGGAAGTCTCGACCACCTCCACGAAAAAACTTCGGGCGAATGAATAATCAAGGACATAGGAAGATTCAGAAGACCTTCTTGGGCGACATAAGGGATAATTGACGCCCGGCCAACCCTCATTGTGGATTGAGTAACCATACGGAGACTGAGTGCTACAGGATGACGAAGTCAGGTTTCAGATGTGGCAAGCCTGGCCATCTAGTCAAAGACTGTCCGGTTAAGGAACCTGAGAACCAACCGAAAACTCAAGGTCAATTATTTTCTCTTACAGAACAAGAAGCCAAGGTGTCTATCTCCATGATTCAAGGAACGCTCTCTGTTTGTAATATGCAAGCTAAAATTTTGGTTGATCCTGGATCTTCTCACTCTTTTGTTGCACCTCACTTTGCATGCCACATGAATGCTAAACCTGCACTTCTTGACTGGACTTTGGTAGTATGGATATCTATGGGGGGATTTATGGAAACTAATATGGTTTATAAGTGCTGTGGGGTTTTGCTTGAAGGGTGTGTCCTACCTATAGACTTAATACTTTTAGATAATCAAGATTTTGATGTCTTTTTGGGCATAGACTGATATTATGATACAATAAATTGCTATGATAAAATTGTAACCTTTAGATGCCCAAATCAGCATGAGTTGAACTTTTTGGGCATTAAGGACCCCTCTACACCTTATTTCGGCCCTTCGAGCTTCTCAGCTGTTGGCCAAAAGATGTGTTGGGTATTTGGCCTATGTAATAGAGAATTGGGATGTCCAATCCAAGTTAGAAGAGATACCAGTGGTGAGGGAATATCCCGAAGATTTTCCTAAGGTGTTGACCTCTTTGCCTCTAGTCAAGGAGGTAGAATTTGAGATAGATGTGGTTTCAAGCACTGCTCCTATCTCTAAAGCCCCTTATAGGATGGCCCCAGTCGAATTAAAGGAGCTGAAGGAACAACTGCAGGAATTGTTGGCGAAGGGGTTCATTTGACCTAGTGTTTCACCATGGGGTGCACAGGTCCTATTATCAAAAAGAAAGACGGGTCGTTAAGGCTTTGTATAGATTAAAGACAACTGAATCGAGGTCGCGGTAAAGAATAAGTTTCCCTTGCCTAGAATTGATGACATTTTTTATCAACTTTAAGGGGCCCAAATGTTTTCTAAGATTGATCTTTGATCAGGCTATCATCAACTGCAGGTCAAGGAAAAAGATGTCCTTAAGACCGCACTCAGGATTCGATATGGTCATTATGAGTTCTTGGTAATATCATTCGGGTTGACCAATGCCCCGACTGTTTTCATGGACCTAATGAATAGATGTATTAGATCATTTCTGGATAATTTTATGGTGGTGTTTATAAATAATATTCTGGTATATTCAAAGAACCTAGAAGAGCATGAGCGACCCCTACAAATGGTCCTCCAAACTCTAAAGCTGGAAACGTTGTATGCTAAGTTGAGGAAAAGTGAATTTTGGCTTCCGAGTGTGGCCTTCCTTGGGGAAGTTGTATCTAAGGATGGGGTTGCAGTTGACCCTTGTAAATTTGAAGTCGTACTTAAGTGGGGAAGACCGACAAATGTGTCAGAGGTCCATAGTTTTCTGAGACTGGCAGGTTATTATAGATGCTTTGTAAAAGGGTTTTCAAAGATAGCGCTCCCCCTAACTCGCCTAACCCAGAAAGAAGTGAAATTTGTGTGGTCAGATGATTGTGAGAAAAGTTTTCAAGAACTGAAAGAAAGACTGACTACGACCCAGATACTGACCTTACCTGATGGGAACGAGGATTTTGTAGTTTAAACTGATGCATATCATAAAGGACTTGGATGCATGCTGATGCAGTGAGGGAAGGTCATAGTTTATACCTCCAGACAGTTAAAGTCGAACGAACAAAATTACCCAACTCATGTCTTAGAACTCAAGGCTGTAGTATTTGCCTTGAAAATATGGAGACATTACCTATATGGGGCCCAATTTAAGATATTTACAAATCATAAGAGCCTCAAGTACCTATTTTCTCAAAAAGAGTTAAACATGAGGCAAAGAAGATGGATGGATCTACTAAATGACTATGACTGTACCATCAATTACCAACCGAGCATGACCAATGTAGCAACAGATGCTTTGAGCCGGAAGCCAGTGGTATCAATGACACATCTGATAGTTCGAGAGATGAAACTATTAAAAGATGCAGTGGAGTGGCACCTAACCTTGCCCCTTAGTGATGGAATAGGAATGACTGCTTGTCTGAGGATGGAGCCCCAATTCTTTCAACAAATCCGAATGGCACAAAAGGAAGATCCCCAACTCATGAAAATTCTAGAAGAAATAAATCTGGGGATGAAGGATGATTTCTCTGTTAGCAGTGATGATCTGTTGAGATTTAAGGATCGAGTATGTGTTTCGAATGATGAAAGTGTGAAGCAAGCTATTTCACGTTATATTGTACACTCAGGAAGTAGCAAGATGTATCAAAACCTGAAGAAAACTTTCTAGTGGAATGACATGAAAAAGGAAGTGGCACAATTTGTCTCTAAGTGCTTGACATGTCAGCAAATGAAAGCTAAGCATCAGAAACCCGCAGGACTGTTACAACCCTTGCATGTGCCAGAGTAGAAGAACACATCACTATGGACTTCGTTTCTGGTTTACCAAGAATGGGTTCTGGACATGATAGTATTTGGGTCATTGTAGACCGGCTGACCAAAGCTGCTCATTTCTTACTAGTCCACAACTTATAGCTTGGATAGATTGGCTCAGTTATACCTTAAAGAGATAGTGAGGTTACATGGAATACCTGTTAGCATCGTATCTGACAGGGACACTAGATTTGCCTGAATATTTTAGAATAGTCTGCAATCAGCTTTTGGGACAAAATTCACCTGTAGTACTACTTTTCACCCCTAGATTGATGGACAGTCAGAAAGAACTATTCAGACCCTGGAAGACATGTTAAGGGTCTGTGTTACTAATTGTAAAGGAAATTGGGATGATCATCTACCTCTGATAGAGTTTGCTTATAACAACAGCTTTCAAGCCAATATTCAGATGGCACCTTTGAAGCCTTGTATGGGAGGAAGTGCAAATCACCTCTTTATTGGGATGAGGTTGGTGATAGAAGGATGTTAGGGCCAGAAATTACTCAAACGACCTCAGAAAAGATTGCTTTGATTCGAAAGGGGCTCAAGACTACTCAGAGTCGGTAGAAGAGTTACGTCGATAATCGAAGGAGAGACCTCAAATTTGGAGTAAGTGATCGGGTTTTCTTTGAAGGTATCGCCAACTAAGGGCGTTATGAGATTCGGCAAGAAAGAGAAATTGAGCCCACGTTTTATTGTACCCTTTGAAATTCTGGAAAAGTTGGAGTCGTGGCTTATCGCCTTGCCCTACCACCCGAGTTGGCAAACATTCATGATGTTTTTCATGTGTCACTGTTAAGAAAATAACAGCCTGACCCATCCCATGTTTTGTAGTATGAACCGATTTTGATCAAAGAATATTTGACCTATATTGAGCAACCGATTGAAATACTAGACAAGAGAGTGCAGGTGTTGCATAATAAAGAGATTCATCTGATCCGTATGTGGTGGCAGCATCACTCAAAGGAATAATTGACATGGGAACGAAAAGACGAAATCCGGGATAAGTACCCCCACTTATTTGATTAGCTGAGATACGATTTTGGGGAAAAAATCCTTTTAAAATGGTAAGGACGGTGATTTCCCAGCCTAGTGAAGTGCTCAACGGTAGAAGAAAGGAAAGAAAGGAGTCGTGCACGCGGCAGTGAGAAGAAGAAGAAGAAGAAGAGAGAGAGTGTGCATGCAGCAGTGAGCACACGGTAGTGAGAAGAAGAAGAAGAAGAAGAGAGAGTGTGCACGCTACAGTGAAAGTGCAGCAGTGAGAAGAAGAAGAGAGAGTGTGTGCGTGCGGTAGTGAGCACGCGGCAGTGAGAAGAAGAAGAGAGCGATAGTGAGATGAAGAAGAGAGAGTGTGCATGCGGCAGTGAGTAGGCAGAGATAGAGCTACGTCATGCCTTGCTGCATGCTGCCACCTTGCCACTTGTCAAGCTGCATGACATTAAGACTACCACTTGGCAAACCCTGGATGCCACCTATCAACATGAGAGTACAAAACCCCCTTCTGTCCCCCTTTTTGCCTCACATAATTCACTCTTCCCTCTTGAGAGCTACACTCTAGCCCCCTTTCTCTGACCTTGTGAGAAAATATTGGAGTGAAGATGAAGTGACTGTGTGAGGAGTTGTGAGAGCACCATTGCACACACAAGGTAAGTGGGTCACTACCTTATAGGTCCTTAGTCATGAAAGCATGAATTAAGCATGAATCAAGCATGAAGTTGAGCATGAGCATATGCATAAACAATGGCTGCATGTGTACCCTATTATGCCATGTTTTCCAGAAATTTAGCTTGCCATTGCATGTTAAAATGAGCATTGAAATCCTTCTTGATTGCCATGAGAATTTGTGGAGGGATGCTCTTATGCATCAATGTATAATGTAAAAAGGTTTTATACTGAAATCTAGCATGATTTTGGGAATTATTGACTGACCAATACTTTGAAATTCCAGAGAGGTTTCATGTTTTTGCAACATACTTGTGACTAAGAAAATGACATCAAAAATGACTCCAAATGACCCCCATTTGAAAGAAACATGTGTATACTATGATTTTTGTGTCTGAAGTCAGTTCAAATTCTTTATAAATGGGGAGCTATGCTTCAATTTGTGAAAGCATGTCACTGTTAGCAGATTTCATTGAAATTCTTCTGTTGCCATGAGTTTTTGACAAACCAAATGGAGTCCAAACGCCTTCAAACTACTGCCATTTAAAATATATGTGTGTTTATGCAAACTTTCATGTTAAAATCATCCCAAAATATCCTCCAGATTGAAAGTTATGCCTCTATTAAGAGGGACATGGCACTGTTAGTAAAATACAACATATTTCAAAAGTTCATTTCTGTTGCCATAAGATTTTGACTAACCAAATGGAGTCCAAACGTTTTCACACCACTATTATTTGAATGATATGTGTGTTTACTCAAACTTTCATGTTAAAATCATCCCGAAATATCTTCTAGATTGAATGTTATGCCTTATTCAGAGGGACATGTCACTGTTAGTAAAATGTAGCAGATTTCATAAGTTCATTTCTATTGCCATGAGCTTTTGACTAACCAAATGGAGTCCAAATGCTTTCAAACTACTGTCATTTGAAATATATATACGTTTATTCCAAATTTCAAGTTAGAATCATCCCGAAATATTCTCTAGATTGAAAGTTATGCCTATGTAAAGAGGGACATGTCACTGTTAGTAAAATGCAGCAGATTTCAAAAGTTTAAACCAAATGGAGTCCAAAAGATTTCAAACCACTGTCATTTGAAAGATATGTGTGTTTATTAAAACTTTCATGTTAAAATCATCGCGAAATATCTTATATACTGAAAGTTATGCCTCTGTTAAGAGGGACATGTCACTGTTAGTATAATGCAGCAGTTTTCAGAAGTTCATTTATGTTGCCATGAGCTTTTGACTAACCAAATAGAGTCCAATTTCTTTCAAACCACCGCCATTTGAAAGATGTGTGTATCCACTTTGAAATTGGTTTTGAAACCACATCAAAATTTCTTATAAATCGAAAGCTACGCCTCTGTTTGTGGTACATGTTACTTTCATAAATTGCAGAAATTTCGAAACTATTTTCTACTCTTGCACTGAATTCGTGATTGACCAAATGATGCTCAATTATTTGTCGCGAGATACTGAAAATACATGCTTATGATACCATGAATGTTCTTGAATTCTTGAAAATAGCAAAGTATGAGCAAATGAATGCTTGAGCATGCAAGTACATAGTGCAATTAACTGTGATATACCATGATACTGACCACTATGCAATGGGTTACCCATTGGTAGTTGAACACTATGATGTTGTAAATGTGATATACTGTGATATTGACCACTACGCAATG